ATAATAAATTTAGTAATATATATATATATATATATATATATTCGTGGTTGTCTGAGTATGTATCATGCACGCATATAGACCATGTACATATGTACTTGTGGCTCATTTATGCTCGCTTGCTTCTTCGAGATGACCAATGATTATCTCTATTCTCATCGCCCCTCGTACATCTCTTACAGAGCTGAACCAATATAAACTCAGAGTTAGGCTGAAAGAACAGGGATCCGGTATTAAAGAACTGACTTTAAAAACATTCAATGCAACGGACTTGAATGTTACGGATATACCCATCCCAGTGCAAGGTATACGTTAGCTGCACACCTCCCCATACTAGCAACTTCGGCCGTGAACTACCAAGAAATCGTGCCTTAGTTGTGTTTTTTGTATAAACGTTTTGTTTGAGTACATTTCATCCGTGGATCGCGTCCCTATAGCTTTCTGTCTGTAGTAAGGACGTTGCATTTGTTGATTCCAAGCTGTCTCACATTCATCTGCTAGTGTTGCTTTAAACCACGAATGACAGAGCATTTTTGTGTGTTGCTTCTTCTGCCATTGCTCTCTTGTCTCTGTACGAAGGTCCGGCGTTGTTGTCCGTGTACATACATAAACCAATCCATCCTTCATCCATTCATCCTCGTATTCTCTCTTACCTTGCGTTTTCGCCTATTCCGGTGAGTTTGCAGGGCTGTTACCTGCCCTCCGTTTGAAGCGCATGTATGAAGACGGTGTCCTCTACGACCACCACGACTTACCCTTCACTCCGGACGCTACCGGCAAGGTTGTACACATCTCAACTCGTATGTATGTTTGGATAGGATTGTACACAGGGTTCTATTTGTTGTGGTTGCAACCGCTTGCTAGGCCTACAACAATACTTACACACCTACACCCGAGCGATATCGAACTTTGGATACCAGTGCACTCGCGTACATCTCATGGGTTCATTGTATCTCTTTGGTGTGCCTGTCGTAGGTGTTTAACGCCTCCACGCCGACCTTTGACAATCGACTGTTTGCCGAAAGTGTTCAGAAGTTACGACCTGGCGCACAACCGGTCGTGTTCAGCTATTTAATCGACGAGAACCAACGGTAGGTCCTATAAATACGTATCAAATCGTGCTACACATGTCTTCTGAAACGTACATTGCAATAGAGGGTGGGCCAGCCGTCTCATGCGTCGACGAGAAGATAGCCTGGAACAGCCTTGTGTGGAGGTGGTCGCTGGGTGATGCATAGGCACGTACTTGGAGAGCGTAGGTGTATTGTAGTTTGTGAGATGATTGAATGTGCATTCATACCACCTCGTGGGACTAACTTAGAGGGGAAACTTATCTACCCTGCTAGAGCGAATGCATTACAATACAGCATTGTGGGCTATTGGAAATGGGCGAGATTTCGTGGAATGCTGTCAGCGTCTGCTCTCATCAAGTTCTGAGACTACTCGAATATCTCATGTACCAGCGTACCAGATGAGCAAACCCAAATCTCCGTCGCTTCCTCTCGAATAGCTTACGGTATGCCCAATCTCAATCCCACACGCTTGTACTATCGATTCACTCATGTAGCGCCATGTCCACTACATCTTCCCCAGAGTGCACATGTTACTGTACGGTCGAACGATCCTTGTTTCAGCGGACGATAACCAGGTGACACCCCTGGTGAGTCTGCACACAATGCCGAGCGAAGACGCCCATGCGCCGCTGAAAGCCTCGCTCAGCACCATGAGTAATGCAGAGATGAGGTGAGTGGTGGATACAGCAACGTAAACGTTGTACTATAGTTGAACGCAAAGGCATTAACGGTGTACACAGACCGCTCGTCCTATCAGTTCAATCGCAACCTATCACCACCCTACATCCTATGTATGCCAAACCCTAACATACTATTTTCCACACACCCTACATCCTATGTAGGTCAAACCCTAACATATAACCCTTATCCAGTTCAATCAGAGCCAACGCCATCGTCAACCCATCTAGTGCCAATGGAGAGACATCCAAAGCAACAAGCGCCGATTCTGCGGTGCATAGCTCTCATAAACCTCCGCCGTCGCGACCGCACAACGTTTTGTTCGGCTTGATCTTTGTGGAGACCTTTCTGGTCTTGCTACTCTTCAGGTGTGTGGCACTGCTCGGGCATGTTGTAAGGTTTCTGGTGAGGTGTGTACAATCGAGCATATGTGCGTGTTCGGAGTAGGGTCTAGAGTTGTGGGTTACTACAAGCATGCGACGTACATGACGTGGGTGCCACATTTGATATATATATATATATATATATATTAAGACGCATCCGCGTGTCAACAGGGAATAAAGGAAGCACGCTCTGCGCATACATGTACAGGCTGCGTTCTATAGCATGTCTTCCTATGCCCTCATTTTGACTAGCATCTACATACCACTTTAAATCACAACGGGTGTGGCTGTACGACGACATCGTTCTTATGCGCGTTGCGACTACATACAACTGCACAGTCTTTATTGGGATGCATGGTCAACCATCAATACGCAACAGGCACGACTGGCTGCCTATGGGGCCGGGGGTGAAGCGGTCTGCAAGTACTTATATAGTGATACCTCCGGGGGTTAGCCGGCTGTGCCGTTCCAATATACCAGAATAATAATAAACCAGTATAATAATAAACCAGTATAATACAGTCACACACTGGAGCAGCGGCAACGGCCTACACGGGTGGTATACTTGGTTTATTTTAATTTTATTTCAGTAAGTGATGTGCGTGTGTTCAATATTGTTCACTACTACTTGGTATGAGATAGCAAACACTTCGTTAAGTACGTTTACATGGCCGTTCGTGCGCTCGCTAGTCTTTCCTGGCCCTTAAAGGCTGAAGATTGGGTTCTCGAACCCAGACTGATTAAGCCGGTAGATATGCCTGCACTGGTACACAACAGACACCAACAGTGGGTGTCCTATACATGTATATGTTGTTGGGGGGGGGGGGGAGTGTAGCCGGTGTTCTATACTTCCCCGAAGGCAATAAAATTGACTGAGTTTGTGAGCTTTGCGTATGCATGTGTGCCTATAATATACCTGTGCCAAAGGTTCTATATACACCGAATAAAGGCGGGACAGACATCAACGCATACGTTATAACAAGACATGATCTTTCATCTTTCCTTTTTTACTTCGTATGTCGGCGTGCTTACGTCAGACCCACACTAACACAGTGATAAATCACACCAGTATATACATACATACATACATACATACATACATACAAACATACATACATACATTTATACATACATACATACATACATATATACACTTATACATACATACATACATATACATATATATATATATACATATATATATACATACATATACATATATATACATATACATATACATGTACCTGTACATGTACCTGTACATGTACCTGTACATATACATATACATATACATATAAATATACATATAAATATAAATATACATATATATACACATATACATATACATATACATATACATATACATATACATATACATATACATATACATATACATATACATATACATATACATATACATATACATATACATATATATATATATATATATATATAATACACGAGCTCATGCACAAATTAATGTATTCATGTATGTACTTCATATATACTACATGCATACATAGGTCACAACAATGTGTCATCCTGTAACTGATCTAGTGGCCGTAGTAGTAGTGTAGCATGATACCACACGTGTATGTTTGTGGTTCATGCACGTGCATCCATAGCCTTAGTATTAGGCAAGAAGGCTAAGGTGCATCAGAAATTGATTTTTATTTATTATTTTTGTATTTCGGTGATAATAACATGCCATGTTCATAAATATTTTTAATTACTAATTTTTATATCAAAAAAATAATGCCCTTCCAAAAATAGCTATTTTTCATACAATTTATTTGTTTATTTACACTCTGTGAGTGTGCCGTGTGCACTGTGCCGGAGTGCCCCCATTTTTTTATTTGGTAAAATAATGAAAGCGTGTGAGCCCAATAGACAACTAATACCTGCGATTTAGAATATGATCAAATCAATCAAATCTGATTACCTCATTTTCTACCAATCAGATTGAAGATATCTAAAGAACTGATAGTAGAGTCGACCGGTATCTCGGTAAGGTATGTATTCAGATAATGAACAACTATAGAGGATCACAGCTAAAGAGTTCCACGCGAAAGCGACCTATGAGAGGCTCGGATATTCGGTTCCAACTCCCCCCCAAAAGTGTGTAGAAATGGGACAATGTGCTGTTGGTCAACAACTGTAGAAGTGTAGAACTTTTAGTCTGTCGATGTCGCATGCCAATGTAATATAAGTATATATTTATTATATGTATATATATTATATACATATATACATGCTCCACAAGTGTACACATAGATAGTCGGTCTCAAAGAGTACTATATACAATATGGCCAACAAAGAAGAATTGTCAACTCAGATTGTCGCCCAGGGCGATAAGATTCGCGAGCTAAAAGGTAGCACTTTTCGTGTATTGCTTGATCAGTGTTAGTAGTGATGCAAGATAATTCGCGCTAAGTAC